AAAGAAAAAGACTTGATAAAACATTAGGCATGATTATAAAAAGGGCATCTTAGTTTCCACAGGGTGAAAAAATCAAAAATAAAAGGAAAGCTAGACTATAGGCAGATATAACCATCAATCCATCAAAAACTTTGATATCAGTGCACAGCACTGGTAAAAATAACTTAATAACTTTTGCATGCTATTTTAAAATAACCTGTTACTATTTTGCCTATCACTATTACACACGTTATAAGTTATTCACTTGTTTATTTTTATTGGACTGCAATTTGAAAATCTGTAGAACTATAAATTCCCACTGTCATCCGCCCATCTTTCCTTAATCTCGAGAATGGAGTTAGCTAGATGAAAGTAGAGACCAGATATGGTAACCTTTGGAGCAAGAGGTCCCGATTACATGAACTTCTAATGCAAACCAGAAGTCATGTTATTTCAATTCAAAACTTTTTCTCTGAAAGCAGTTAATAGATGAATGGCACGACTTTATTGTTAAAGGAAAAGTATTATGTAGAGGGGCAAGCCACTACTAATTTGAGGCAGAGAACATATTTTAAATTAAATAAATTAAAAACACGATTAAAAATTGTAGCCCGGCATTACAATGAGGTCACATTAAATAATTGCTCATATTTATTCCGGTAAATAACATTTTGTTGCTAACTATAGTATCATAAATAGAAACACAACAGTTAAAACTAATAATTATGTACAGTAATTATTCTTATGCAAAATTTATTGTAAGAGATTTAATTTTTATATACAGCAAGTCTTCGCTTAACGTTATCAATAGGTTATTGGAAATTGTGATGTTAAGAGAAATGACAAACAAAACCAATTTTACCATAAGCTAAATGATATAAACAAGAGTTAAGTTCCTATCGGATTATATTTGCAACCTCCAGCATTTAATTCCCACCTCATAGAATCAATTTTACTGTTCATAAAGAAAATTCAACAACAATAATTTTAAAATGATTACAAGTGTACCTTATAGATTTTCTTGATGTCATAAAGAAATGACATTAAGTCAGGACTTATTTGTAAACAATAAAAGAGCAGCAAGTTAAAATATCTGGATTATTTCTTAAGTATAAATTAAATTACAGTAATTCATATTTTGTAAAATTTATTTTTNTATACAATATAACTGTTAAACGAAGTTGTTTAAAATTAACTTACACAAATATATTAATATGTTTATATTAATAAATAATATTTATATGTCAAATTGTTTAAAGAAACTGTATATACACATGTTTTTGAAGCAATTTATTATAGAAAGAAATTGAGAATAATTATGAACTATATGAAAAAGTATACATGGCTTTTGAGTTTTTGATTCAATAAGTATAAAACCAATTTTTCTTTTTGGAATGTGGCCAAATATTTTTGTTAGTTAAAACATATGAATGTAATTGTTGATACTATCAGGAAAAAAAGGTGGAATATTTGTATAATTTTAGCTTTTCCAGAGTACATATCTCAGTAGGAAAAATAATAATAATACTATAAAGTGAAATCTATACCATAAAATGTTACAATCCAGCAGGAACTTTTGGAAAGTGAAGTTCATTCTCCAAAAGTTCCTGTTAGAATATAATGTTTTGTGATTTAGGTTATATTTATCTAGTTAAAAGAATGCTAGTTTACAAAATCAAAGGATGACAAATCAAATCTATTGCATTTTGGAGATAAGAATTTCTGAAGTTTTCAGAAAAATATGAATTAAATCAAATTTTTAATTCTAGTAATTTAAAGAATGTGATTCTTATAATCTTTTAGATTTGTGTTAAATGTACTGTCATTCTTTTCATTTTTTAGGTAGAACATTCCAGATAAACTGATATTTCATAGCTTTAATAAGGACAGAGCTCTTTGAATGGTAGCTTTTTTGCAAAACAGCTAAAAATGCACTGCTATGATCCTTCAAACATTTAAAAATTTAGATGAATCTTGTAAATTTATAATAATAAATAAATCCATTTTTCAATTACCAGTTTTATTCAAATAACGTGCTCAAACAGTAACCATATCTCACTCTTAACTTTAGATCACAATGCATAAATCATTAAATGTACAGTACAGGAACACAAAGCTTCATAAATTTTATGACTTGATTTTATTAATTAGTTTCATGTCAGAATACTGACTGACAATAATGTAAGAAATATATGATAAAATATACTAGTTTTGAAACAATTTCAGACACTGGATTATTATTATAAAATTTATTTGCAGCAATTAACACATTAATTTGCATGATGATCCTTGCAGTATGTGTGGTTGCACTGGCTGCAATATGTAGTACTAAAATAGTTCATTTTTTTAATGGTAGATGTGACAAATTATTATTTTGTTTTCAGGTGTTGTATTCTCTCTGCAAATAAGATTTTTTTGTAAAACATTTTATATGAAGAAGTGCAATTGTATCTGCAAGGTGTGCGATTCTAGCCTCTTCTTTATCCATTGTTTGTTTAGCTCTTCACTTAGATGGATAAAGAAATAATTTCCTTCATGTGTCTAACAGGCAACTGAATAAATTGATTATTATTTCTGCTTGGGATGTGACAAGATGACCAATTAGCTAGTTGTACAGAGTACTGTGCACCAACTATCGTTAGTACTGTCAATATGTTAAGCAAATTCATCATATAAAGACAAAATTCACATACATGAAATAGAAACATGACTATCCTTACTTTAGGCACCACACATTGTCGATTTGATGAAGCATTGTGACTATGACAATTTCCATTACTCTACAAATAAAAACAATTCCAGAAATATGCACTTGTTATGAATCCTGACAAGCACAGGAAGGTACTAAAAACAATAGCAAAATAGTGCAAAACAACAAGGAAAAAAATAAGAATTGACAAACTCATGTCATAAAAATGACAATGCTTTGTGATCCAGGGTTAAAGCTTGAAATAAGAATCTCCTTCAAACAGTAGACATGACTACTATTCAAGAATTTCTGAAAACTTAGGAAACAGCAAATACTATAAACTATGGTAGATAGGTGCCATATTTATTTAACAAAAAAACTTTAAAAAGAAAATGAAATATGTATAACGTATAATATACACTAGAACAGTAGACACAATTATTTTCTTATTACTGGTATATAGAAAGTATCAGAACATTTGTTATAAAGAAAAATACCAGTTACTATTTAAAGTATAATTTGCTTTAAAAATCAAACTTCCATAAATAAATATTTAAATACTTTATTAATAATAGATATGAAATACATACAAAGGAAATAACCATTCTCAGAATAGTAAGCGCAGAGAAAATATGCAGTTTAGAATAGTATCCATGGCTATTATTTGACTAAAACAAGTAATAACTGATTATGTTATTCTGAAATCATCATTTTTGGTACAAACTAACTTGAAACAAAAATTATGAAAATGCACAAAAACTGAAAACACATCTATATATATAATCGAGACAGGTTGATGATAATAATCAGCACAGAGCCCAAACGGTTGAAAGTTGAAATTTGGTACACAGTTAGGGTACATCACAAGAACACATACTAAGAAGGGATTTTTCGAAATTCCCCCTGGGGGAGAGGGACAGGATTAAGGCTTCGACAATAAAAGTGTTAATACCTAAATGCTAATTCCAGCACTGAATGAACAAAAAAATTTTTTAATGCTCCAATGTTTTCGGCCGTCTTTTAGAGGCCCCAATTTTAAATGATAGAACTGTTTTTTTTGTGTGTTTCATCCTGAGGAGGGCCTCTAAAAGACAGCCGAAAACGTTTGAGCATTAAAAGTTTTTTGTTCATTCAGTGCTGGAATTAGTATTTAGGTGTTAATTGTTGTGTTTAATTTTTGTGGTATCATAAAATCCTTTACTTAGGGATAGACTACATACTTGATTTTTCCATCACCATCCATCTATCCCTATCATTAGAAAAAGTCTTTGTAATGATGAAAATAGAAAAACAAGTAATTTTAGGAAATAGTGTATTAAATTATAATTACACAATTCCTAAAAAATTTTTTTAAACCTGAAGACCGAAAGTAGGTCGAAAATGTTTGTTTTCTATTAAATATTTAGTACTGGACTGTTAAGGTTTTTTGAGTGTTAATTTAAAAAAAATTAATTACCTTTATATATATTTATACATTTTTTGCTTAGATCCTGAGCAACAGTGGTAAGTTATAGTTTTATGGGTCCCAGGCAAATTTGAATTAGAGGACCCCACATACAGTGTCAAGTTCAGACATTTTTTTGGGGAATCTGCATTCATTTTTTTAGCATGACCTCTAAGTTCTGCGCTGCACCAGAACCACACTGGTAGAATCCCCAGATAAGGCACAAACTTAAGTTTTGCTATTTTTACTACAGCAACAGGTTTATAAAAGATACTGGGCAAAAAGGACAATTGTCCTTTTTGCCCACAAGATAACCCACCACTGCCGAGCAAGTTGTACGAGACAATGTCGAGCTTTAAAAATTTTTTAAACAAAAAACGGTTTGAGATATTTATCAAACAAAAATTTTGTACTTTTTTTGGGTTAAATCATTAAAAAAAAAAAACCATTTAAAAGAAATACCAAATCAATTAAATGTCTAATTAACTTAAATCTGTAATTAGTCAATTAAATTATGCAGATTTAAGTAATTATAACTGTATAACAGAAAACAAAACAATACATTTATTATCATTATTTTTTGTTTCGTTCGGTATTGTTCTTTGTATATTACCCTAGTTTTTAAATTATCAAAACACGAGACGGCAAGAACAATACTACTTTGTGACATAATTGATAATACAACCAATGATGCAACACGTAACAAAAAATAAACGTTTGAAAATTAAAGTTTATGCTAATTTGCATATTGACACATCCAATTAAAATTAACAATTCAACTGTCATTTGTCATAGACATCGATGCTAATAAATTATTAAATTCTTTTATGATATTATTATTACGCTTTAATGCAACGAAGACAGAGTAGGAAATTTAAATGAACTTACTTTGTTTACTTTTTCTGATTTGCGAGAAAGTTGTTTTCGAGATGAACAACGTCGGCCATTTTTCTTCGTTCGACTTAAGACTTTTCTCTTTGACGCCGTCGTCGTTATCCAGATCCGAAAAGCTATTTTCCGTATGAAAAGAAGTCGTCGAGCTAATTCTACTTAAACCGTTCTCCTCTCTTTCGCTTAAGTTTTGTCCGTCGACCGTGCGCGTCGCCATATTGTTTATTAAACATGTCGGGATTGGTATAAATATTAAAAATTTTATAAAGTTCGATCGTTATCATTTTTTTAAACGCCCGAATCGACTTGAATATTAATTTATTTCGTTTCGCGCTTATACATTGAAATAAAATTATTAATTAAAAAAAATAATTAAACACGTGTTTCGATTTTAGTTTTAAAATCGTCTATTTCTGGTGACGTAAATAATAAATATCGCACGTAAAAATCTCGTACGTATCGGCTTTAAAAATTATGATTATTAAACAGAATGATAATAATTTATGCATTTTATTTATTTATTAAACAAAAATTATTTTTTGGAATAAGTATTAACGATGAAACGTTTTTTTAAAACGATAAATTTATTTAATTTTATTCGATGCGTGATTTTTTAACCGATAGATGGAGCTGAAATATTTTGAAGAATTTTAAATAATTCAAGATGGCATCCGTAGCTGAGCCATTAACACTCCAAAAAGGTAGGATTTTTGTGGTATAATTAATTAATTTTAGTGCCTAATTAGCTATTATTTGTCTTGGCGAATATCTGAATTATATATTAAGAGTTATAATTAGTGCATGTTGCTATAGTTCGCGAGTTAAATAACGTGTGAAATTTAAGGGTGGAGATGATCATTCGGGCCAATCAAAATAACTTTCACTGAATTCAATCCTGAAATTTTTAAGTCATAAAAAATGATTTTTATACAATTTTATGTAACAAAATATGAATTTAGTAAGGTTTTTGTCAATCAAATTAAATGTATACATTATTTTTTATAATTAAAAAATAACATCATTATATAAGTAAGATTTTAGATTTTACAATGTGATAAAACCACTTAAACAATGTAATTGTTGATGATGATAAATGTAATCACTTTGATACTTAATTAAAAGATATATTTACTTATATATATATACATATAATATTATATAATAATCTCCTCTTTTTTTGGGCTACAAGAAGACCTTTATGATAGGTCCATCATGAGTTTGCCAGATGGAAAGAGGGACAAGATCCATTTTACATATGACAGATTATCTTATTGAAATTTCTAAAGATTTTTTTAACCTAGACTAGAACCTGATTCTCTGCAAAAGGCAGGCTGATGAGTTAACTTTCTTATCAATCCATTTGGCTGTATATAATCCAAATAAAACCTTGGGAAATAATTTCAAAAGATCTGGTAGAATCAGAGATAAAGAAAAGACTAGTAGAATAGACTGAAACGAGAAAATCCAATCCACTTAGAGAGGACATCATCATCCTCATCAAATATAATCAATATAGTTAAATTATACTGGATTTATATATTTAAAAAAATGTTTGTTAGAGGTTGTCCGTAAATTACGTCTGTATTTTTCTTGAATTTTTAGTTTCCCCTCTCTGTCTGAGTTTCCGTAACCCTTCCCCTCTTCGGACATCTGATAACTCAATCCCTCTTAAAATTTTTATCGCTTTATGAATGATAGATACCATAAATAGAAATGAAACATATGTGAGATCCGAAAGGCCCTGGGTCTAATTTGTGAATTTTTATTAAATATGGTTAAATATCGACACGAAATATTACTTCGTTTTTGTGAAAAAAATATTGTTTTAGACGTGGGAAAAACCAGATAACAAATGTTATTTCCTTTCATCGAAGAGAACATCCTCTGTTTTTTCATATCTGGTTAAAAATCTCGCTCAGATGGGAAATGGTTACCCCTCATTCATCCCCCTTTCGTCCGTTCTCACGAAGGAGTTACTGGACGATGATTGGACGAAAATTTTGAGATATAAAGGAAATTAGTCAGAATTCGGGGAGTTCTTCGACTGATCCGAAGCATACAAACTCCACATACGTTTCCCTCCTGATGGCCAACGCCCTAAACGGAGTCCGATAGACTAAGTCCCGAGTCTACACTTAGAAGAAGTGATATTTTCATATTTTTGTGCACGAATTGATCTCCCGTATGAAAGTAATATGAACCCTATCTACCAGGTGTCCTCTACCTACAGAAACGAAGACGACGACAACTAACAGGTCGTATGTTTAGAATCATTTTGTGAGCTCTCTCTCTC